GAGGAAATTTCTGTAAAATTGGAACACCTTTCATTATAGGTGACAAACCCATTTAAGGCTATAGTATGCAAAACATGCAGGGATTAAAATTAAATTTAAAAAAGTGGAACTTTTAATTTAAAAAAGTCAGTATTCCCACATAAAAAGCAGACCTCAAATGCTTTGTAAGAAAGAGATTTATGGAGATTTGGGGTTTTTTGGGCACACAAGACGGTAATTTATATAAAAAATATAGTTTTTATTAGATACATGATTAAAAAGAAAGAGCTCATAGTATAAAAAGGAAGAAGCAGCTCAAGAGGAACACCTTCAACCTCCACCAGAATTCTGAGCTTTGGCTAGGTATAATTACATGAATAGAATTCATTTAGTTGATTCATATAAGTAAATTAATTTGTAGGTCGCACCCCCTACAATGTGTTTGATATTATCCAATTGACTGGACAACTAGAGAGTTCATTCGCTTGTCTTCCGTATGATCAGAACAGAGCAAGGATGGAATTTTATTAAGTAGTTAGGACCATCCGTTCCAACAAAGTAATTTAGGTATGGTCCGTTAGAACTGATTGTTGTTTATTGAAGTCGTTCAACCAATTATGCTATCCTAGCATTAAATTGTTCTTCTAGTTGAGTCAATTGACATTATCAACCATTTACAGTCATTAGTGTGTTACATCATATTGATGTAACGTAAGCCAGATTGAGCTGGTCCCCGGGTGGCCATCGGTTCCTCCCTCTAAGTTAACACAGCAGTTGACATAATGTCAAATAACCCCATGCTGGGGTTAAGTAATTGTTTTCATGTACTTTCTCTACTACCGACACTTCGAAGGGCCAAGACTGTGTTTAATTGTACCAGACAGATTACGGGCATCGTCGTCCTAGGACGACCAGCCTTAACCCAACCCCCCGCTGGGCGGATACTGCTGAGGTACTTGCTCTGACGGTCCGCATCGAGCAATCGAACTCAGCTGGAGGGGCGTGACCCAATCGGGACGCACGAGGGGATATGATGTCATCACGTCATGGGCTGAAATAGACGCCCATGACGTGATGACGTCATATCATATGGAATGTAACACTAGGCGTGTGTGCAACGCTGGGATAAGAATCTATAACATACAGGTACACCATTTATCTACTCTGAGAACTATGTCCTGAAAAAATCGGCAATTCTAATGTCAGCCACGGTGGTGCATACATAGAAACAACGATTTCTTGGTGGTTGTTTGAATCTATTTAGGAGTATCAATTCCTCTAAATCCCCTGCTCTCCTTGGTTATGGTTTATATTCCTACTTGATATATCTCTCTGGTTTTTTCCTCCAGTGGGGCAGCTGCCCACACCTGAGGAGGGTCCTGCCTTGGTAAATAAATACTGTTCTCTTTCTTGGTTATATGTGCTGACTAACTGATAGGGGCTTTTGCCCGTCATGGTGATCCTTTCTTTCTTTGTTACACTCTTTCCCCTCCTCTCTCTTCTATCTGGTTTTCATGCCATTTTTTCTCGGACTCTCTAATTGTTGCCAATGGATTTTTTGACTTACTATATGGGCATCACTTATGCCTAGACACTGCCATCCTGGCTGATTCATTCCACTGTCTGGACAAAGTTTTTAAACCCTAAAAGCCTTTGAAATATCTGACACTGCTTTGTGGGGGCATCCACTGGTTCCGCCTGGGATTGGTAAGGCAGACACTTGTTTGTATGAAATGTCAGCCTCTTATGGCTTTTGCTGCTTTTTGTCTATTTTGATTAGCCCCTTTGTGGCCATTGTTGTTTTTTGTTTACTATTATATTTTCTTTGCATACCAGCTGGTGCAACTGGCTGATGACTTTTGAATGTCAGATTATACTTTGGACATTACAGTGCATTGTTATTCTTCTTACTTTCTTCACTGTCTGATTAGAACTAAGTATATTATCCTCAATGGGATATGAACTGGTTAATTTATATGATTGTTTTATACTTTCAATTTAGAACATCTTTAGACCTGAGGAAGTGTGGGAACACGCGAAACGCGTTGTCGTTATACTCCACCAGCATCTCCTGAATCAAAAGCTTGAAAATTATATTTATTTCAAGATCTTGTACAAAATTCAATATGATGTAACACACTAATGACTGTAAATGGTTGATAATGTCAATTGACTCAACTAGGAGAACAATTTAATGCTAGGATAGCATAATTGGTTGAACGACTTCAATAAACAACAATCAGTTCTAACGGACCATACCTAAATTACTTTGTTGGAACGGATGGTCCTAACTACTTAATAAAATTCCATACTTGCTCTGTTCTGATCATATGGAAGACAAACGAATGAACTCTCTAGTTGTCCAGTCAATTGGATAATATCAACCACATTGTAGGGGGTGCGACCTACAAATTAATTTACTTATATGAATCAACTAAATGAATTATATTCATGTAATTATACCTAGCCAAAGCTCAGGATTCTGGTGGAGGTTGAAGGTGTTCCTCTTGAGCTACTTCTTCCTTTTTATACTATGAGCTCTTTCTTTTTAATCATGTATCTAATAAAAACTATATTTTTTATATAAATTACCATCTTGTGTGCCTAAAAAACCCCAAATCTCCATAAATCTCTTTCTTGTAATATAAACCAGGGGTGTGGCACTCTCAATTAAACACCGGTTCCCTCCCTTTACCCTTCCCTATACAAGCTCAAATGCTTTGGTGTCGGCTTACTTTTTACTGCCATGAGTGTTTTTTTATTATTACTGTAATAAAGAGGGTCAGTGAAATGAATTCTGGGATTCCACATAAAAAAATATGTTTATGAATCACCCCTAAATCCTGTCTCAATAACCATTGAATTGCAGGTATATTCTTCAGTGGAGACAGCCAGTAATGAAAAATTTGAAAAAAATCTAATTTTAAAAAATCTAAAAAAAAACCCTGTTTTTATTGCTGTCTGGAATCGAATTGGAGAGATTTTTCCCATGTCCTGTTCCAATGACTGCCTAAGGAAATCTCATTGAAAGAGAAACAGACAGCAAAAACAAAACACCTGACAGAGGTTCTCACCCTTTCACTTTTGTCACAAGGAAAAATGGCTGGAGAAAAGACTAACATTACCCTTCCAAAATACCCTAAATGCTTAATAACTGAGAAAGGAAGCTTGGCACATCTAGCCACTGGGATTTTTCCCCATTCTTCAATTGATAACTGCTCCAGCTCCTTCAAGTTGGATGGGTTTCGCTTGGTGTACAGAAATCTTTAAGTCATGCCACAAATTCTCAATTGGATTGAGGTCTGGGCTTTGACTAGGCCATTACAAGACATTTATATGTTTCCCCTTAAACCACTCAAGTGTTGCTTTAGCAGTATGCTAAGAGTCAGTGTCCTGCTAGAAGTTGAACCTCTGTCCCAGTCTCAAATCTCTGGCAGGACTGAAACAGGTTTCCCTCAAGAATTTCCCTGTATTTAGTGCCATCCATCATTCTTTTAATTCTGATCAGTTTGACGGTCCCTAACAATGAAAAATATTCCCGCAGCCTTATGCTGCCACCGCCATGCTTCAATGTGGGGATGGCGTTCTCGGGCTGATGATCGGTTTTGGGTTTGCACCAGACTTAGCATTTTCCATGAAGGCCAAAAAGTTCAATTTTAGTCTCCTCTGACCAGAGTGCCTTCTTCCATATGTTTGGGGAGTCTCCCACATGCCTTTTGGTGAACAATAAACATGATTGCTTATTTTTCTCTGAAAGCAATGGCTTTTTTTTAGAAAGCCAGCTTTGTGCAGTGTACGGCTTAAACATAGTCATATGGACAGATACTCCAATCTCCACTGTGGAGCTTTGCTGCTCCCTCAGGGTTATCTTTGGTCTCTTTGTTGCCTCTCTGATTAATGCACTCCTTGCCTTGTCCATGAGTTTTGGTGGGCAACCCCCATTTGGCAGGTTTGTTGTGGTGCCATATTCTTTCCATTTTTTAAGAATGGATTTAATAGTGCTCAGTGGCAGCAAATTTTTAGATTTTTTTTATAACCCACCCTGATCTGTACTTCTCCACAACTTTGTCCCTTAACTATTTGGAGAGCTTCTTGGTCTTCATGGTGCCACTTGCTTGGCGGTGCTCCTTGCTCAGTGGTGTTGTGGACTCTGGGGCCTTTCAGAACAGGTGTATATATACTGAGATTATGTAACACTTAGATTGCACACAGGTGGTTTTTATTTAACTAAATATGTGACTTCTGAAGGTAGTTGGTTGAACCAGATATTATGTATGGGGCTCCATAGCAAAGGGATGACTACATATGCATGCCACTTTTCCATTTTTTATTTTATAAAATTTTTAAAAACAAGTTATTTTCTTGATTTAACTTCACCAATTGGACTATTTTATGTATCTCCATTACATGCAGTCCAAATAAAATTCCATTTGAATTCCAGGTGGTAATGCAAAAAAATAGGAAAAATGCCTAGGGTGTCAATACTTTTGCGAGCCTCTGTATCTATCAATTAAACACATTTATTTTTGAACAACTTTTCTGTTTTTACAAAAGTCAATTAGTCAATTTATTCACTATGAACACAAAAGGTTTTCCTATTAAATCCTTTCCGCAATGATTAGTTATTTGTTTCATAAAGGCTATATTAGACTAGTACCGTAAATTGCATTTATTACACACTTCTGTTTTACCACACAAATAGTTGTTTTGAATAATACAAACAGCAAAGTGATATAGTAACTAATCTGATTTTATCTCACAATTCTCAGACCACAGTTGAATAGACTGTCAGTTTTTAAAAAATGCTGCAGGTATAAAGTGCAGAAGCCCAGAAGCTAAGACTCATTCTATTACTATTCTATTTAAGTGATATCTGTTTGATTGCTTTGGGTACCATTTTGCAATCATCACTTTGGTCCTTTATTTGAATACATATCTGTCCCTTTAATAATTCATAAATGCACCCCCAGTTTATTACATAAGAACATTTTAATTGGTGTAAATGTTACATTATTTTTCAGCATTTGTGGAATTCAGCACTTGGAGCGAGCTGGAAATAACCTGACACTATTTGATTCTCTCTACTTCTGCATTGTCACTTTTTCAACTGTGGGTTTTGGAGATGTGACCCCAAAGATCTGGCCATCAAAACTTTTAGTGGTTATAATGATCTGCGTAGCACTTGTAGTTCTTCCAATCCAGGTATGATACATTTATGTTTGCCCAATGTACAATCATTATGTATATTACATAAGTAAATATTTAAACTGAACCAAGCAAGCAAGTCACTTATAACTCATAGCCATGGGTGGTGAAGGCTAATCAAAGATGTCTCCAGACCAGCAGGAGTTTAATCCAGATCAAGCACTGACTGGAGTCGTAACATTAGTATTACCACAGTCATACCGCGGCTGTAGCGGTGAGCTAGCACTGTAAAAGAGAGGGCTGGGAGGAAACACATTTTACTCTCTCTTTCTACAACTCCTTTCTCTCACCAACAAAGACTTGTGTGGATTGGGGGTGGTGGAAACTACAGCTTGCTGCTGGACAGAAGGCCTAGAGTAAAGATATGGGGGTAGTAGTTAATACCCATATACTGTATTGTAATCATTGCCCATTTGTTGCCCACATATTGTTAAGATTCTCCTTTTGTTGCCCATATATTTTAATGATTGCTCTCTACACCAATGATTGTTCACATAGTCAGCCAATTTTGGTTTTCAGTTATGTAAAACCGACAGAAATTCACTGGCCAATATACATGGTTGTAGGAAAAATGTTTTGGCTCACTGCACACTTCTTGTTTATGTACAGTACCTTGTGTGTTTGCAATTGGTTTTACTAAATCCTCACCCTTTGTCATCCTGTAATGAATGTATCTCAAAGTAAATGAAAAATGAGGAGAAGGAGATTTACACTATTCATGAAACCCTACCTGTAAATCTCCCTTGGCACCTATAAACATATACTGGCACCTATAAACAAAAAAGTACTGTTTGTATCCACTACACTAAGCACGATTTGTTTATTTTGAAACTGCCTTTAGATGTTTTATATTCTCCTGCTATACTCTATGCAGAGAAGTCTAAATTCATCTTCATTTGTGACCACCCTACTGTCTCTGCATGTTACAGATATTTTGTTTTTTATTGAAAAAAGACTTCCACTAGTGTGATAAAATTTAAAGTTACTTTGTCACTCTTAATAAGGAAAGCTGCTAGCTGGAATATAGTGCAGACAGCTGTTCTGAACTTGCTAAGGTCACACACTGTGGATATTACTTTTGGCCAATCATTATGATGGGATACCAATTAGGTCAATATAAAAATTTGTGAAGTGGCTGGAAAGCTTAATCACTAAAGGGAAGTGCTGGAGCTTTGCCTGTTTAAAGCATCTGGAATTATGGCATAGCTGGTATTGTGGCTTCAGCTATATTCTGTAAAATATAAAAACCCTCCTCCCTGCGTATTTGAGAAGAGGAAAGGAGGTGGTGTTTGTAGTCCAAATCAGGATCCCAACCTAGGGTGACAACACTGCTCCTCCATCAGTAGAGTACAGTGAGCTATCATTGCCACCCTAGGACAGATAGTGTGTTACTGGCAGGATCAGCAGATGCAAATAAAGGAAAAACAGACTTAAAAAGTAAACGTATGCAGCCATAACATCTAAGGACTGGTAAACTGCAATATATTACATTTTGGTTTTTTTGGTTTAGATGCACTTTAAGCTTTCAGCACATTGTGTTAGCTGTGATGTCAGTATAATGTAGCAGAGAGGATTGTTACTCACATGAAGTTTAGAGGGTATTGAAAAATAAAATAATTTGAATCATTAATTTGTCACTACGAAGCCCAGGGACATCCCAATAATGAGGCGGCCTGAGGTGGTTGCCTCAGATGGCATCTCATTGGGTCAAATGGGGTGTGCCTGCTACCCCCTTTCTGCCAGAGTGTCCTAGGTTGCAAAGAGCTCTTAGCAACCTGTGATGCACTGGCTTATTTCCCGCAAAACTCACTGATGTCACTGGTTGTCAGGAGCTGAGCAGGACGCTCTGGCCTTGCAACCAGTGATGTCAGTGATTCTGGACAGAACCAGAGCCAGAAGTACCACCAGCAGAACTCCTACCCACCCCCCTTTAATGTGCGCCACCAATACTGCCCTTTTCCATGCATCTGCTCCCACATGTGCACTATCAGCACCACAAACACCCCCCGCCCAGCTTCAGGCAGTGAAAAGTGTAGGGGCACCCCTGACTAAGCTCCAAAGTCGAAAGCCACATCGAAAATAGCATCACTTACAAACCATATTCCATTTTTAACTGAAAAGTATTCTTAATAGTTACTGAATAGTAAACGAAAAGTATGCTTAATAGTTTAATGGATGCTTTTTTTGTGTAAACATTTTTATGGTATAAATAATATGACATTTGGTTAATTATGTTTCTTTCTTTTCATTCCTTTTTCATGGCAGTATTAAAAATATCAATCATATTCTATTCTGAGTATAGAAATGCATGTGTATGTTTCCTTCCCAGCACATTTATTATTGACCTAGATTTTATATATTGTATCTTTTTATGTTGTATCTATAGATCTACAGTACATTTTTCTCATTCGGAAGTACTTTTTCCATCATAGCACACACATATCCATCAGTGACCTAGATTTTTGTGTCTTAAGATATACAGTATATTTTCTTCACTCTTATAATCTCTTAGTTTGAACAGCTGGCATATCTCTGGATGGAAAGACAAAAATCAGGTGGGAATTACAGCCGTTACCGTGCACAAACAGAAAAACATGTCGTCTTATGTGTTAGCTCCTTGAAGATTGATCTGTTAATGGATTTCTTGAATGAATTTTATGCACATCCAAGGCTGCAGGTAAAGAATCATTAGAACTTCATTCTAAAACAAATGTTGTGTAACTTAAAGTTGAACTGCAGGCACAAAAACATTCATACAAATATATCTTAATAGCCACAAAGGATACAAATCCACTGTGTCATTTTTTTAAATTAATATTTTTTAATTTTCTTTAAAATATTTTTATTATTTTGTTGACTTTTTTTAATTTTCATATTTTTTCCTTTTGTTTATATGCTTTTTAAACAATTTTTTTTCATTGATTAAAATGTTTTTCTATTCTGCATGCTACGTCGGAGTGCTCACTGCCGTTCGGCCCCGATGAGAATAGGGACGGCAGTGAGTGAGCTGAGCAGAGCATGTTTGGCTGACTGAAGGTAGACAATGTACAGCTGATTTTAGCCAATGTACAGCTGAAATCAGCTGTACAAGGCTGAAGTGAATAGTTTGTCTCACTTCACTTCGGCTTGGTTATTCACTTGGCTGCCTCTGGCACCTAAGTGAATAACCCCCTATGTGTGGTAACTCCTCATTGACCAGTCTTCTAGCTACATGCATTTAACCCTCAGTACACTGTCTCCGGAATGTGTGTCTTTCTCCTCAGTGTCCAGTCTATAGTGTGAGTGAATTAACCTCTCAGTGGTTAGCCTCCTTAGTTGAGCATTGTAAAGTTGCCATCTGTACGATGTATAGAACCTGCAGCAAAAATTAAATTTCTAAAGAAAAAGAAAAAGCTTGCGGTTCCCCCTCTCAAACAATACCAGACCCCTTAGGTCTGGTAGGAATGTTAGGAGGGATCCCATTAAAAAAAAAAAAAGTGTGGGTTTCCCCCCAAAAGCGATACCAGAACCTTGAAGAATTTTAGGAGGGACCCCATTTAAAAAGCATGTGGGGTTCCTCCATAAAGTCATTCCAGGGCCTTAATGTCTGGTAGGAATTTTAAAGAGGAACCCCACCCCCAAAAATGGGTGGGAAACATGGGGTCCCCCCTAAAATTCCATACCAGACCCTTGGTGCTTTTCCAGGGTCACTCCTGGAAAAGCACCTTGTCCCTGTGCTGATGGGGACAACGGCCTCATCCCCACAAACCCAGGGGCATTGGTTGTGGGAGTACATCCAGGGGGCTTATTCACATCGGGGTACCATTTTAATAAAGGGGCACCCATATGCGCCCCCCTTGTGAATGAGTAAGGGGTACTTATACTCCTACCCATTCACTTAAGGGTACAATTCAAATTGTAAAAAAAGATGTCACACTTTCGAAAAAATCCTTTAATTAAAAAAAAAACAAGACATGTTTTTGACAAGTTTTTTATTTTACCGACGTAATCCTAAGGTCAATCACAACGTCCAGCATTTTCCATGACGACAACGATTCAACGAAATTTAAAAGAAAAAAGAAATAGAAATAACAAATAAAAAAAACAACGCCCGCCGACCTGTCCGCTCGTGATGAACTCCCTCCCCAGAATTGCATTCTGACAGATGCCATCAAAATATAAACAATTAGGCGGAGCTAGCGGTGCCATCACTTTGCCCTATCATGGCTCTTACAGTGTACAGTGCCGTGATTGGGCAAAGTCTTGCACCTGACCTGTGGTCACCTGTATTGCTTTACCCAATCAGGGCTTCACAAGGCACTTTGCTGAACACACAAACTATCGATGTTTGAGTCCAACTGTTTTTAGACCAGATCATCGAGCCCATCCCTATTCCTCAGCTCCATTTGAGGGCTTTGGCAAATACAATAAGCTCAAGAGTGCAACTACCTAAACAAATACTGGGCAGCCTGATGTAACTGGCTGAATGTTTTAGATTACAGTGGTAGGTATGTGATTTACAGTTGAGATGTCCTGAATTGGCACCCTGAGTCCCTGGGATCACGTCATGTCAGCGGTACTGGTCTGTGGAATGTCAGACTAAGAAGTCAAAATTGTCCCCAGGCCGCGTACTCGGCTGGCCAGGCCAAGCTGCGGCAGCTAGAGCAGGGGAGGGAGAACTGCCTGACGGCTAAAATACACACTGAGCAGAGCGTTGCTGTGCCGTGTGCGGATTGACCAATGGGAGGTCCAGTGAATATTGACAATCAGTGCTCGTTTGTCCGAGGGAGAGTACATATGGAAGCGCACTGCTGTAATGTGGACAAGTCTCTCAATTACTGAGTTTATGGGAAATGGTGTGCATAAGCTCTTCAAAGGCTCTTCAAAAACAGGGAGAGGAGCCCCGTGAAACATAATCATGAAAAACAATAAGCTGAAGAGCGCAACTACCTAAACAAATACTGGGCAGCCTGATGTAACTGGCTGAATGGTTTAGATTACAGTGGTAAGTATGTGACTTGAGATGTCCTGAATTGGCACCTGGACTCCCTGGGATCACGTCAGAGCGCTTATTGTATTTGATGATCATGTTTCACGGGGCTCCTCTCCCTTTTTTTGAAGAGCTTATGCACACCATTTCCCATAAACTCAGTAATTGAGAGACTTGTCCACATTACAGCAGTGCGCTTCCATATGTATTGGTTTCATTTGATGGCTTTGGGCTGATCATGAGGCACTAAGCACTTTTACATGGGAGAGGGGAAGTGAGTAATGTGCTTACCCAGAAGCGTGTCTGTGAAGATTCTCATTCATCCAGGTCATGGTATATCTGTGAAAATAAATCAAAACAACTGGACTTGTATTTTGCTTGAAGAATTTTTGCATGACCAGTGGGGAAAAAAATACAAATCCAGTTGCACAGGCCTGGCAGGGCAGAAGTAAGGGGGGTTGAGCGAGAGGCCCCCCTCCCTGCCATACCAGGCCACATGAGCTTGGGACTGGGAGGGTGCTTTTCCAGGGTAGCCGCTGGAAAAGCACCTTGTCTCCGTGCTGATAGGGACAAGGGCCTCTTCCCTAAAAAGCCCTAGGGCGTTGGTTGTAGGGGTGGTGGCAGGGGGGATTTATTCACATCAGGGTGCCCTTCTAATAAAGGGGCACCCAGATGCAGCCCCCCTTGTGAATTAGTAAGGGGTACTTGTACCCCTACCCATTCACAAAAGGGTTCAAAGAGAATTTAAATAAAAAGTCCAGACTTTTAAAAAAAAACCTTTATTGGAAAAAAAAACACAACAAAGGATTTTGGCAAGTCCTTCATTTAAAAAACAAAAATGGATCCACCATCATAATCCTAAAGTCACGATGTCCAGCGATGACGACGAAATTAAAAACAATTTTTTGTTTAAAAAGACAAATCAATCAATTTTTCAAAAGACAAATCATTTAAAAAAAAAGACAAATCAAAAGACATCGGTGGAGCCAGCCATGACATCACTCCGCCCAGCTGTCCTTGAGGATGCTGGGCTGTCATTGAAGGACAACAACTAGGTGGAGCCAGCCGTGACATTACGGCTGGCTCCCCCCAGTGGTTGGCCGACCTTTCTCCACGCTTCGGGTGTGACTACAGCTCAGCCAAGTTGAAGTATATGCGTTCGGCTTGGCTGAGCCACTCGCTGTCCTTGAGGATGCTGTGCTGTCATTGAAGGACAACAACTCGGTGGATCCAGCTGTGACATTACGGCTGGCTCCCCCCAGTGGTTGTCTTTTGCGGGGAGAACGGTCGGCTTCGGCCGACCTTTCTCCACGCTTCGGGTGTGACTACAGCTCAGCCAAGCTGAAGTATATGCGTTCGGCTTGGCTGAGCCACTCGCTTGCCTTCTGCTGCTGTACGAGCTATTGCCAATAGCCCGATTGAACCGACGGGGTCAGACGGCCAAAGCAAGCTGAAGGATCAGCTGCAAGCTACGGCTGGGTCCTTCGGCTCTTTTGTGAATAACCCCTTAAATCAATGATTGAATAGGTGGGCATATACCTTGGTTAAATTTTGTTTAAATTAGCTATTACTGAGCATATAATAATGATTTGATTGTTATTAAGTTATAGTTTTATGCAAAATTTCTGAAACTCTACTTTCCTTGACAAAGTCTACTTGAATAACTAAATTTCAAATATGATGTATGGCTTTACATAAAGAAACATTAATAATGGTGCATGTGTAAATAATCGTAAACCTTTTTTGTGTAACAGGATTACTATGTGGTGATATTATGTCCAACAGAAATGGATGTCCAGGTTAGACGCATTCTTCAGATTCCCATGTGGTCTCAAAGAGTTATCTACCTGCAGGGATCAGTCCTCAAAGATCAGGATCTATTGAGAGCTAAGTAAGTAAATATTTTATAACAATTTTAAGGCTTCACAAAACATTGTCATCCTAGCTCTCTTTAAATCAGTTGTTCTGAACCTGTGTAACCTCAGGACCCACACTTATCCTTGGTCATGAAGTTGCGACCCAAGTTGCACTGCAATGGAACGCATGGCATTAGGGTACTGCGCATTCTGGTGCAGGTGTACGAACTGTGGGTGGGAGGTGCGTTTGGAGTATCATTCAAATGAATGGTAACGCAACACACCTCCCACACAAGAATGCACAGTAGGTGTGATTGCGTGGTACAGTGTGTTATTCGCACAGTACTATGCGATTTAATGCACTGTACTAGTGTGAACAAGCCCTCTAAAACACTGACACAATCTGACACACACACAGACATTCTGACACACATACACACTTCAAAAACATTTTAATTTAATTTTTTTAACATCCACCCAGTCTCCCTATTTTACACGAACTGGAATGGATCCTCAGCCTGGTGTCCAGTGTGGGCTGCTGTGCTGTGATGGAGCTCCATCCATATGTGCTTTGTTTGTACAGCTCCCTTGCGTGCCCTGTAGAGGTGCTGGGAGCCAGAATGTGATGTCACCATGGCAGCTCTATAGGACACGTGAGGGAGCTGTAAGCAATGCTTGTATGGATGGAGCTCCCTCACGGCCATAGTTCCATCCCATCCCACCTCAAGCTGACAACCGGCGCTGGGCAGCATATTTTAAAAAGCTGCTTGGTGTGAGAACTGACAGTGCTGTGCTAGGTGGAGGCAGAAAAGCCTCTCACCTAGAAAAGTGGAAGGCATGCGGCGACCCACTGAAAATAGGGTCGCGATCCACTTGTGGGTCACGACCCACCAAGGCTTTAAATGAACATTAAAATTCACTGGTGGTTTAAAATGCATTATGGATGTGTTTATGCAAAGTCTAGTCATCAAGACCTTCATTACTTTTAATACCGTCTTGCTGTGTTTGACTGGTCCATTTCAGATTTCAGCAGGTAAATATAAACATTTATGGTCTGCCGGCCTACTTTATCTTCAAATATTCTGTTGTAATATGGGGTTGCATTTTTTTAAACATTTAATTTGTGAAATTAGGTGAATAGCAGACCTTAGGTAAATCATGGTATTAAAGTAAATATCTTTTGTAGGTGCACCTAAATTAAAATGGAAGGTGATATTGTGTAACAAAAACACAATGAAAACCATGCTTTATAATAAATATTGGCTTAGCGTCAATTAAACAGAACAGGTATTTTAGATATAATGATGTTCATACTATTGTATTTTTCCAGACTATTTCCTCTGTACTGTGCCCTCATAAGTCATTCACCTACAATCTGAATACCATAGCCATTTAGAAACATCACAAAAAGTTAGCTTTTTGAAGTTCGCATTATTACACAGTCACACAGATCCACAGCTTGAAAAGCCGTTCCATTTTATCTTGTGAATTGTTATACATGACATGAAGTGAGCTAAATCAAAAGTGCCAATTTTCCTTAAGAATGGCTGCTACTATTATTTCCCATCTGCCATGGGATATTATCATTATTTTGTACATTTTATGTACCCAGTATATTCCCCCAGGGCCTAACGCAGAGAAAAAAGTTTTAAATATTTTAACAAAGACCATTCTGATTCATCCTATCAGGTTTAGTTTATTAAGAAGGTTTGCACATATTATTATTATTATTATTATTATTTTTATTACATAGTATTTATATAGCGCCAACAGTTTGTGCAGCGCTTTACAATATAAGGAAGACATTACAGTTACAATACATTTCAAGACAAGATGGTAAGGAGGGCCCTGCCCCTCAGGGCTTACAATCTAAAAGAGGAGGGGGAAATGATACATGAGGTAGCTGTGGTACTCCACTGGATATTAAAAACATAACTTTCTGTGGCAGTACATGCACTGTTAATTTTATAGATAATTATATAGTTAATTTACTTTGGGCTACAACAGTGCTCTATCTTTGTGAAGGCATGCAGCAGAAAAGACTTTGTAACCACTGCAAAGAAGCAAAAGCAGTCTGTGTAAATTGTCGGCATAGAATTAAAATAAATTATCTTGCTTTGGTTCTAGTAAGCCAGATGGATGTTAGAAAGATGTATCCCTTCCCTCTGATAAATAATGTAAAATATGTCTCCCACCGAGCACTATATTTCTCTTTTCTTTAGTTACATGTTGACAACAGGATCCTATTTGTAATAAATACAGTTTTTGTGTATGTAAAATAAATAGTGTTGACTCTTTTCTACAGAATCTAATACAAGTCAAGGTTATTAGCAAAAGAGACAGTTACAGGGGTTGGGTCAAACTATAACACTGCCAGGGGTACTTACAGCATTAAATTTCAATATAGTGATTTGAAACTTTTTTTTCCCTAAAATAAAAGAATTGTTGCTGTAATGTGCACAAATGTTAGCTGTATACATAATACATGTCATCTTTCCTTTGCTTATAGTTATATTTACTCAACCAGATTTTAAAGTCTGCTTTTAAGCTGTATTGTCATTTATTGGTACACACTGGTGATATACACACTGCTGTATAGCTTATTTGAAAAAGTGTTACACCATTTTCTGAATCACAACCTCACTTTCAGATACATGTCTAAAACCTAATTGAAATCTATGAGTAGGCATTTTACCATTACCCAACTGCTCTCTTTTCTGCCCCCTGGAGACAGTAACTTCTCTCTCCATACCGAAGAAATTGAGATTTCTCGAGGGAGGTTTACTCATTACTCTGCAGCAATTTTAAAACATTGCATTTATTTTGGTATGCTTTGTCAAACTAAGATATTTGTTAGGAAATCAAGTTTTTACATATTTTAAGCTGTGCTGGAACATAGCACAAAGATAGCAGCTTTTTACAATATTAGATATTTGTGATAACCACGTTTTAACACTGGACTATGTTTAATGGCAATAATTTCAGATCTCTAGACTTTGCTTGCTCTTCAGTATGTTACCATACCTTAACTTATAGAGACTCAGTTATGACCTATTTGGTTCTACTATTCCTTTATTCTGTTTTGAGCTCATCTCCTCTTTTTCTTCTTAGGATGGATGATGCAGAAGCATGCTTTATATTAAGCAGCAGATGCGAAGAAGACAGGACAGCAGCTGTAAGTAGAGCTGGTGTCATGCAAGTAATATTTTATTTATATGCAGACCAACCCACAGGACCCACACACACATATATACAAGTAAAGGGAGATGGACTAATGTGCCCTTAGTAAAAATGGCCACTGTGAGAAGAATGGGGAGGAAAAGAAAAATAAGGTATGCAAAATAATACTAAAAAGCCAGCGATTATCTATTAGCATCTGTTTGTAGATTGCCATTACTGATATAAGTGCCTTTTTGTCATTTTTAAGGTAAGGGTAAAGATCCTCTTTAAAAGTATTTCTTTTTTTATCAGGTTTACTAAGGCAACATCCTGTTATTGTTAATGAGAAAACAGTGCTCACCCACTCTACCACTATATACTTCTGGCTAGTCGGCCAAGTCTTCCTTCTGAAGTCTGCATTGATCAGTGCTGATGCATCACATTTCAACTTCACAAAGCAATACAGAGCTCTGAGAGAAATAATTGGCTGACTTTACATTTCTGTACTATTATATTTCAGTTTTGATCATTGAAGGGCACATTTAATTATGGTTTCTTGAGTTTAACCAGAGTATTACTTAGAGGGTTATTCACAAAGGAGCCGAAAGATTAAGCCAAAGCATTGGCTAATCTTTCGGCTAACTTCGGCCGCAGGAACCCTCCAGTTCAGCCGAACCGAAGGGCTACTGTACAAGCTATTCACAATAGCCCATATATCAGCCGAAGGCAGACAAATGGTACAGCCAAGCCGAGCGCATATGCTTCGGCTCAGCTGTGCCGTAGTCACAGCCGAAGCGGGGAGAACGGTCTGCCGAAGCAGACAGTTTTCCCCACAAATAACAACAACAGCTGGCTCCATCCAGTTATTCTCATTCAATGACAGCCCAGCATCCTCAGGTGATGTGAGGACACTGGACTGCCCATTTGTTTTGATTTGTCCGGGACCTGCGGTATGATAGTGACAGGTGTCGGACAAATTTAAACAGTTGGGTGGAGCTAACGGTGATGTAGAGGTCCACGGTAGCAAGCAGAAAAGCTGAGCCAAATGCCGCTAATTCGGCTATTCACTTCCTGCCATTTGGCCCCTATGAGAATAGGGTGAATGGCAGTGAATGAACTGCCAGAGGTTCGGCTCAGTTGATCCAGATGTTGGATCAGCTGAATTGAATGGCTCCTTCACTTCGGCTAAGCCGAACATACTGAGCATGTTCAGCTAAAGCAAAGACAGCCAAAGCTAGCTGATGTATGGCTGATTTTAGCCATTCTGGGATGAAGTGAATAGCTGAACGGCGTTCGGCTCACTCCACTTCGGCTCGGTTGTTAACTCGGCTGCCTTCAGCAGCTTAGTGAATAACCTCCTCAGAGTTCAGACTGGGAAAAAAAATACCATGGGCAGCAACTTCCAGGGTCATAGATTGGGCAACCTCATTGCATTTCATATGTTTGAAGTGAATATACAGTATATACAGTATAATATATATATATATTTGTTTGCCATGTTTTGGTGTGGTGATACCTTCATACTGTATTTAGCAATGCTTATTTCCTTTTCCTTTTAAAAACAGCCTTTTGATGCCAAAGAAATTGTTAATACATGTTTTTACTTTATTTTAAGAGATATATGCTAATATATGTTTCCTGTTTAGGACCATCAAACAATATTAAGAGCCTGGGCAGTCAAAGATTTTGCTCCAAATTGCCCTCTCTATGTTCAGATATTAAAACCAGAGAACAAATTTCATGTCAAATTTGCAGGTACTGTTGATTTTACTTTTATCTTCAATATTCAAAGATGACAACCTCATAAAAGGTTACATTTATTGTTACACAGTATTTCTTTTTTTTTTCTACTACAAATATGCTTGTTAAATAGAGTACATATGCCACTATTGAAAAAAATGTTTTTCACTTACTAATTTTTGCATGAAATAAAAACACATGAAAAACATAGGATGTATCAAAAGTTACAGTATAACAGCCAACCTACATGCCCTTCCCTTTCTCTAATAAAAATTGGACATTTTGGCCCATTCAGTTTTAATCAGTCTGCCAACAGGCATACAGACAGTGTGAGCAAGCATGCTATGCAAAATGAGTTCAAGGGTGCACTCTGTATTAGATGTTTCTTTGTAGAATAAAAATTATATAAACATTTACATTTTAATGACCATAAATGATTATACTTTCCACTTTAAAAGAATGTAAGAATCTTTAAAAATTAAGTAGATTATCTGAATAATAATCAGTTAAGAGAAGATTACTTGTATGTTGAATGGACTGGATAGATGGCAAAAATGTATTTTCAAGTCCTATACTGTAGAGCTAAAGCCAAACATTTTTTTTTTAACTTTAGCTCTCTTTTCGGTCACAGGAATACATTTGCTAATGTACTCCTGTGACCCAAACTCAGCATACAGCACGGTACTGCCCATATGCTGACAGTGCAGAGCAACATAGCATAGGGGAAGAATCCTGACAATATTGTTGGGATGCACCTTGCAAACTGATTGACAGCTGGCTCTGCCCTCCCCTGTCCGTCCCTCCAATGAGCACTGGAGGAATAGAGAGAGGGGAGGATATTCCACTGGCAGCTGCAGTGTCACACATCAGCTCAAACTATTGGGAAGAGTATAGCATACTCTGCCAATCGTTCTCCTTTAATTTATTTTATTTTGTAACATAAGTATAGACAGGTGTTGGGATGGTTCTTAGCATATAAGTTGTTTATGTATTCAGCTTTAGAATAAATCAGCATTCTGGTGACTGATCCACATCATGCACTTAATCCATCAACATATAATTCTTTGTACCATACAAAGAGACTGGGTTGAGTATAAAATATATTACATAAGAGATGGGACCTATGTTACTACCCTACCAATTCGGAGGAATGAAAATTACCTATATATTCAATTAATGTCACTTCCGAAGATCCAATTTATGCCATTTGTTTTGCTTCTAGAAATACTGGGAAATGACATTTCTATACAACCACTTTGAGTTTCCATTTTTAGGTCTAAGCACTATACAGTTGTCATAAAATCAAGGCTTTCTATGATAACAGGGCATTATTCAATATTGCCTCAGTTGACCTGAGTCAGATTGTACAGTTTAGGTGGCACACATTCTGCCATAAAGGTCATATAATGCCTATCTCTAGGGAAAAGCACCTTCTGAAGCCTTTTTATTACTACACTGCCAATGTCCCTTATCCCTTATCCCTCCACTTTCAGGGGTAACAATTTGTAGGTGCAGCTCCACAGTCCTTGCTTGTGCAGACCAGTCACCTCTTGTGACACCATCATGCTGCTGCAGTTTTCTGAATGCTGAGAGTACTGCAGGGCGTCTGTTTTTATCTGGTTGTCCCTGGCTCCGGCTAGATCCAGAAAAAAAATGGAGCAGTGTTCCGCTTCACCAGACCTGATCAGTCTTAATCGGGGGTAATCTGTGACATGTGCCCATTGGCATCCCATTCCCCATAGACCGACATGGGGTCCAGTCATTTCATTTTTTTCCTCCATCGCAGGGTGAATGAAAAAAACTGGATGGACACGGATGTCACAACGGTGACATCTGATCCATACCACTTCAATCAGGAGGTAATTTGTGCACAGATCCTCTCCTTATTGGATACTGTGAAAGGGGACTAAATTATTTTGCTTTCTTCAGTTGTAGAAAATGAGCAAAGAGCCCTGTTGTTTGATTGTGTATTGATTTGAATGTTTGCTGAAATGAGTGTAGTTTCACAAAACACCTGAAATTAAAATAAAACAAGCACTGAGACATAAACTGCTCTGGCTTGGATATTCGGTATATATAGCTCAATAATTTAAAATATAATTTGGCAAACAGTAATAACAAGAAACTAAAAACAGTAAATTCAGAAATGCATTGAGGTAGACTCTAAATATATTTTAAGAACTCAGTAATATTCTAATAAATCCTTTAGCGGCATATCAAAAAAGCAGTGAATGTGACATTCACCAAACACTCACTGCAAATACATCTCCCTGTTGCATGTGCTTTAACCTCCTGCAGACTGGCCCCTGTAAATACATGGCCTGTCTGCTGCCCCATTATTCCGGAAGGATGTACTTGTACATACTCCAGTGCCCGCTTGTGCCTGCATGCCCCACATGTGCCGTGCCATTGCGTGATGGAGTAATTTTAAGTCAAACTTTCACAGGACTGAAAAATGGCCTGATAGGGAAGGGGGTTTTAACATGCTGGTAGTGAAGTGGTAAATTACAGTGAGTGAGTCATCTACAGTGAATGCTTGGTGAATGTCATATTCATTGCTTTTTAAATAGACCCCTAAGTATTTAGGCATTACTTTACGCATAATCTGCATTTCAGGTAACATCACATTGGAGCTTTATTAATGTTTTACTGAGTGGCAAATGGTAATATTTGTTTTTCGAATCTTGCTTGAAATCCATGAAACCCAAACTTAACTGCAAACCCCATGAAGTCTATAAAGAGTAAATGCTGGCCTTTTTAATGCTAATAAGCAAGATATTCTTACAAAGGGACATGGGGAGCTGGAATCTAGGCACTGTAATAAGAAACATTTAACAAAGCAAGACAAAAAAAAAAAAAGCCACACAGCAGTAAGAACATTTTGTGTGATGTCCAGGGTGACATGGAAAACAAACAGATCATTTTTAAATAACTGGTTTTAGGGATTCCTTAAAGCTGTTTTTTTTTAATCTCAGAATCAGCATGGTTTTAAAGGGACATTATCTGTCACAGTGTACTTTGGCAGAATATTTTTGTCTGAGGAATTACAGACAGCAGCAGCACCCCAATCTACTTTCACTAGATTATACACAATTAAATGGAACAATAATATGACGAGGAACAATAACAATATATGCAGGGAACAATAATATGATGAGGCAAAACACTAAAGCTCTGCTGTGAAGTGGTAAAACATGGATTGTGTGTGGTAGACAATAATATAGTGCTGAGTAGGGAGGGGTCAATGTTCAAGTCAAACAACAGTTCGACTCGAACATCGGCAGTTTGTGTGTTCGGCAAAAACACAAACTATCAGGGCACTCGGCGGGAGCGAACAATGCCTTGTGAAGCCCTAATGACGTAATCAGGGCTTCACAAGGTCAGGTACAAGACTTTACCCAATCACAGCACAGTGTACTGTGAGAGCCATGCTTGGGCAAAGTAATGATAACTTTGCCCAATCATGGCTCACACAGCTACAAAGTCCTGTCAGGTGCTGGACAAATGTAAACAGTTAAGCGGAACTAGCTAGTTGTCACTGCTAGCTCCGCCCAATTATTTATATTTTTCCGACATCGGTCAGAATGCCATTCTGCGCAAGCGGATGGGTTGGCGGGTCAAGTCATTGTCATCGTGGACAATGCTGGACATCATGATTGACCCGAGGATTACATCGGTGGATCAATTTTTTTCATTGATTCATGTCCCCCAGGGAACTACCCGAATCCCTATACCCGTTTATGGCCAATGACTTGCATATACGCCTTCAAAATGGGGATAGTTGATTTTCAGAGTTCTAGTCCCATAGACTTTTATTGAGTTCGGAGTTCGAACCTTTTCCATGTTCTAAAGTTCGAACTCGAACCAAACTCAGGTGTGTGCAGCCCATCACTAGTGATGAGACTTTGTTGTAAAATAAAATACAGTAAATTGGAAAAATATAATGCAGAGAGACAGCACTGAAATACGGCAACTCACATTACCACATAACTGTGTGATAGACCTGTGTATAAAGTGGATGGTGACTTCTGGGGGTCTGAAGTAGTGTGACGAGTCCCGTCGGGACAAGACTGCTCCGTTCTCTGCAGGGACGGCCGCTCTGCGTTCCACGGTGGAACGCGGAAGCCGCTTGAATTCCTGATTGTGAGGTGAGCGGCCTGCGTTCCACAGTGGAACGTGGAAGCCGTTCGTTCCGGACGGCGGCTCCGCCCACATCCTCAGGCTATTTAAAGCCCCAGCTGAGGCAGCATGGCGTTCCACAATTGGAGTCAGAACGCCTGCTGCCTCCTGAACCAAGCCTGCATCGACCCCATCACTGCCTGTGTCGGACCACCTCGCCCTCAGTCTTAGGATCTGCAACAGAGCTCCACCACAACTACTCCAACGCAAGTATAGCTCCAGTTGGAGCATTATATTGACTGTCAGCCCTGCCGCATATATGTGCTAACGGCTGTGTTACTTCACCTGCATCTGTGCTCTGGGGAATACCTGCTTGCAAACCATTATAGCTGTGGACACCTCTACTTGCAAACGTTAAAACATTCATCCTTGACTTTAGTTGTTACTATAAGAAGTCTGCTATGAAGTAAATAGCGCTGCCTCTATATTTTTGTTATTCACAGCTGTGATGCTAGAGTCTCAAACTCCCCGCTAAGACTGTAAGTGACGCCTGCGACTCGAGCCTGAGAAGCCGTAGTCTGGCATAGTAGTGGGCAAACTCCATCCATTAAGCAGGCATCCACTGCTTCATTAGGAGTAGCATGGAGGAACAAGGTACTAGGGTTTAAAAAACCCTACCACACATGCACAGTAGTGCAATCATCAACTTAACTAGCAAAGTTGGACGAAGGGCAGAAGTGACGTGGGTAACCCTCTGGAATGCAAATCTGAAAAATGGGTGTGAGGGTCTATGATGGTGCTTATCAGAATCTGAAAGGGGGTCCCAGAAATCCTCCCCCACCCCCTCTAAATGAATGAGTATGGTTCATCAAAGCATCACAAAGGGTTCTTTTTGAGTCTTTGAAGCTCCCTATTATATGACTATTATATGGCTTATTGTTGGTAGTGGGCTTTGGGATATCACAATTGATTTTAATTGATGTTAGCTTTTCATGCATGTGCATTTTGGTACTATTGTGCTCATTTTATCATATTTTAGGATTATCCAGGGAGTATCCTGTTCTGTGATCCCAGAACATAAAAAAAGTTTCCCTTATGAATAACTGGTACTGTTTAACATATCATTATCTTACTTTAATGCAGCACATGTGGTGGTGGGCAGTTGGGTTCCTTTTGATAGCTGCAGTATGATATGTTAGCTTACAAGTCAATTAGCCTCATCTTTTAAGTTTATTCTTAGTAAAGAAGTTAATATATAACACAATTTGTTTAGCAAAGTTAGTTCTGAAGTACGCTATTAATGGAAAACATATTTTTCTAAATGTTTCAACTGTGTATAATAATTCAGTATAATGTTCTGCCTAGATAGAGTTTATGTTAAGAGATGGCAGAATTATCGTTGTTGATTTCCCTCTCAGATAGGACATTTGCATAAAGTAAAAGCTTTTATTCCAGCAGTGAGTCACACCAACCTAATCTAATGAGTATAAAGATCATGCGTATAACAGTTTATGTTCCTTATCATTTGGGTAAAATGTTGCTTTGTTTTTTTCATTTTACTTTCTGCAAATCAAAAATGTAAAGCTAAACTTCAGGCACATACAATAAATAAACATTAACATGGGGCTGTTAGAAATGGCATTATCCAGTTTAAAGACTTAAAACACTCAAAACTAGAAATGTATGCAGCACTCGTCATAGCAGACCATTTGACTGTTAAGGGGTCCAGCAGCAGAGGGGGGCGAACACTGCCTGGCTAGAAGGATTACTGCTGTTATGATGAATGACAGAAGGCCTCTTACATCTTTTGTTAGGAAGCCCCATTATACATAGTTTTACAGAACAAGATAAAACAGACATTTTTTCAACACACTTAGCTTAACTAGTCACACTTAACTAGTCAGCAAAAAAAAAAACACTGTTGCAACAATTTTCCTTTAAAACAGAGGTTTTTGTTGCATACATTTGCAAATATATGTGGAAGGCCACATTACCTCATCAAGCCACTCTGGCATACTGAATAGAAAGGGTTGAATAACTTGTTAAACATTTTCCTTATGAGCTCTGCGTTTTTCTTTTGTTCTCTCCTGTTATACAGCATTGCTTTCTGCTCTGCTTAAAAAATGTTGTACAGTAGAAGAGGTTTTTTTTTAAAAAAAGCACTTTTGTGTGTGCATTTTTTGCAGCCAAATTTGTGGAAGTGTCAGGTGCTGCACTTTCATATTGGGGGATGAGCATGTGCTTAATGTTGAGGGGTAATTGAGGGGTAATTGCTTCTGGTGCCTCTCAGCATCCGCACGATCCCTTCACATCTGCTTCTCTGTTACTTGGCAACAGAGGGAGTGACCTAGTAGTCACATGACATCCCTCCACCCCTCACTGTGTACAGGGACAACAGATTGGCTGTGGTTACATCATGCCCATGTGTCCAGTGTCTCCAAAGATAGCACTATGGGGAATTTCAGGGAGGACTGGAGTGTCCTCCCTCACGGTCTCCCGCCACCATCTAGGGAAAGCCTGTGCATTATTTAAACAAATGGTTCCCATGAGACTGCAGTGACGATCCTGGAAGCAGGTCTGCTATAAATAGAACAATCTGCCCCACAAGTGGCACCCAGATTGGGAGTTCTAGTTTGGAACAGAACACTTTTGCCAATTAGAGACAGTTAGTAAGTTACTCCGCACCAAGGTTCATTGGGTAATTAGGCGGTGGTAAATTGCCTAGAAGAACTCTGAAAAGAGTCCGTGTGAACTTTTAAAGGGCAACATGTGGTCAATTGTTTCTTACTAGGCGGGGATCTCAAGTCCGGGTGTTACTTCCACTGAAGATAAATCTGTTGGAGCCTGGCCATGTCGGTTGGAAGGTTATCAATGAGATGCCCCTGTGAAATCAGGAAATTAATATTATTGGCTTTAATATTGCATTTCACTGATTCCTGTGTCAGGGTCTTTGAAGATTTTCACTAGTGATGAGCAAACTGAACAAAGTTCAGATCGCAGGAGGTTACCGAACACTTTTGTGAACATATCTGTAAACCAAGAACATAATACTCGAACCATTGATGAGGGTCTGGTGACTCCAGGCAAAAAAAACAAATGGTGTGGGGTCCCCCCAGATTCCATACCATACCCTTATCTGAGCATACAGCCAGGAAAGGGGGAAGCGGGGCACATTGTCCCCATGTTGATAAGGGCCTCATACCAACATCCCTGGAATGATGTATTCTAAGGCATGGGACTTAGAATCTGGAAGCCCCCTTTAGAAAAAGGGGACACCCAGATATCTTGCCCTCCCCTCTACATGAATAGGCAAAGGGGTACACAGTACAGTACTGTTATCCATCCACAAAAAATCCAAAGTAAATAAACCCACACCATGAAAAAGTCCTACAATAAATAAATTAATAAACATTGCCCCACAATTTAAATCTAACATAAATCACACCATTCAGTGATGTAGATCCAATGTCAATCACGATGAACAACACACCGATGACAGCTCCCTGGCCAGCTGCTGAATGTGAACAAAATAGATCGGTAAACCTGGGTGAAGTCACTGACCAAATTTGGTAAATGGTGTCTTGCGGAATACCTGATTAGTTTTTGCAGGGTAATCTGATATATCAGAGTCGCTGGCTATCCTAAATGACTCTTAGCATTCCTTTATAGTTCAAATGTTAGACCAGAGCTACCAAACTGCAAATGCAGCTATCTTTACTGGTCCTTGAATAGGGCATTTACAGACATAACACAACCAGTTAAAGAGTCTGAGGGGTGTGATGTTTAGCAGACAGAATCTTAATGATAATTTTTCTAAATGCATCTATATTTCCATCTGACCTGGTTTTGTGATCTGATAACCAAAATACTATTGCACAAAATAAAATAATGATTCTTTAGGTACTAAAAATTTTATTTAAATTGGATGTTTATATTGATTAGGAGATGTACTGTGTTCCATTGGGCTTCTGCTCCTTGCAATATAGGCATGTTTGGTATCTAGCTAATTATTTTCATATACATTAGTGTAAGCATGTTTTTTGAACAAAACTTAATTAAAGTCAGAATTATAGAATATCAACCAGAGTTGGGCTTTAGTAGTTATAAAAAAAAAACTTAGACCAGACTGCACATTACTTTAAACTGTTCTGCTATACAATTTACTACATGGCAGTTTAACAACAGGGCCTGATTAGAAGTCTTTTAAGGCTTTCCAGTTTCTGGGCTAGGTAGGATTTATGATGTTTTTCCATTCCCTCTAGCTTATCTGCATTGTGTTTGTGTATCTTAAAATGGAATGAATGGCTGGCACACACATGAAAAAGATAAATAACACATGTAAAGAAAATAAACACACACACACACACACATATATACATATATATATTGTGGCAGTGTAAGCCAATGCCACGGTGGAGGATGGCGACCTTACCCCTCATTTTGAAAGGTATTGGCCTGGCATGGTACAGGAAGGAAGGCACATGATCACTGCCCTCAATCTCCTGACCACCCAGGCTACATGTCTGGATAAGGACCCGATTAGAATATTCAGGGGAACCCCAAAATGGTTTATTTGTGTTTTTTAAGTCACTTTTAAAGAACTTCATCATACTGTTCCATATAACCATCTGCAGCTTTAAAGCCTCTCCCAAGCATGGTTTTTAGATTTAGTTAAAGGAATATTTGTAATGTTTCCCTTTAAGCTGCATGAAAAGACCCTCTCCCCACTGAGTGACATTTAAAAAAAATGTTGTTTGCATTGGTAAATGTCCCCCATGGCAGTTCACAGCTTGCCATGACATTTTTTAAGCTATAGCTTGCATATTACCCTAAACAAATTCAGAAAAAAACTTTAAAACTCTTTTAAAATTAATCCTATTTAAATCCCCAGCTTTTAAAATGTGCTGTGCAACTAAATCTATTGAACTGAATTTGAAACTCAACTCCTACCAAAACATTAATTTTTAGCTTTGAGCAGAAAATTGAATGTTTAGATCTTTTGTTAGATTACTATTGTGGCAAGTGTCCCTACAGGGGAGAATTTTCCTCTCTTCCAGTCCTGGAGACACCCTACTATGTCACAATGGTGTCAGTAGGACTGGAATGCCCACATGGTGGAGAGCACTACAAACCTGGTAGGGATTATAACACTTTTACCCTCTATTACTAAGTGTGTTGCAATAATGTTCCTTGATTTTGCGTCACAGTAAAGTAGAAATACATTTGTTTAGCTGCCTTTAACACAGGAATATAAATTGTTTTTTGTAGATCATGTTGTATGTGAAGAAGAATTTAAATATGCAATGCTTGCACTGAACTGCATATGTCCAGCTACTTCTACTTTAATCACTCTGCTAGTTCATACCTCAAGAGGACAGTAAGTATTTTTTGTGCTTGCATGCATTCTATTTAGTGCTGTAACACCACTTAGGTTAAAAAGGGAATATATAGTTAGTATACCTAGTGTATACTAACAGTTGAAGTAGAATCTTCAACTGAGATAATTCATATAAACCTATACAAATATAAATAATTTCTTACTGGATGGACTGGATGTGCAACATGACACATCTAGTAAGTCCCTGCATTCATTTCTTTGCTTTAGTTGTAACTGTTTCATTAGGCATCCCAAACAGGAACACATACAGAAACGGGCTTTTACCTAGAGTGCATGGAGGCTGAACACAAGGCAGACGGCTAAACACACAGTTAAAATATATATACATGGATTGTTTAACCTGATAAAGGATCTTTTAATTTGCATAGCTAGTCTTCTGATCCAGATATTCATGCCAGGCAGCATACCTAGCATATACATTCTAATAGGAGTGCCGCACAAATGTCCAAGAGCCCGAAGTTGTTAACAATAGAATTGGTTCACAGTAGAAGGACAGCAAGCACAGTAGAAGGATGAGCCACACAAACTCCCCTTTTATTGGGGCTTTTTTACTTTTGAATGCACCTAAATGGACTCAGATAAGCAGATACCAGATGGATCTGTATTTTTATGCTTAGAATTGATTAAAAAGGGCAGATTATGCAAGGGTAAACAGATACAGCAAAAAGCCCGCCTATAGCAGGCAGAGGTCAGGGGAAACATCGGGGGTTTAAAACACCACTGATATCTCCATTTGAAGAACCTGTCACCTCCCAACCTCCTTTTTAACTCTCTTGTGTAGCAACAAGGTTAAATAAAGAAAAACGTGTTCAAAAAGTGTTTAAAAAATAAAATGTATTAAAATAAATGTAAAATCCACCTGCTGGTGACATGGGTATAGCTGCATTCAAATCCAGGAGCCACAGTGACACTTGCAAGTAGTTCAGAAAACCTGTAGGTTACGGACACAAGGGATGCCTATCCAAAGAGATGGGCTAGCCTAGCTAATTATCACATGCAGAGTTTGAGCTGGCCAGACCTTTAACTGTGCTTATAACTGTGCCAAGTTATACATACGTTATGAACCCTAAAATCATGAGCAAAGGTCTAAGGTGTGATTTATGTGTATGTGTAAAGATCAAACACCAGTACCGATGTAAAGAGACACAAAGTATTAATGCTCCTATAGTCTACCAATGATCTGTACTATTATTATCTCTGTGCAGCTAGGCTTTAAGAGAAAGTCTACACTCTTTTGACTCAGAAAAAACAGAATTGTATACCTTAGACTTTACAATTTGAATGCAGATGCACACCCCATGAAAACAAACTTGGCTTATCAACCACTGATGTGAAGATAGTCTAATGAAACATTTGCTTCTCTTTGATAGAGTAGTAAAAATGTGAGTCATGATTGAAAATGAACTCTGTCCTGACTGGACCATGACAGTTCTGTACTGTTGTGTAAAAAAAGTTTATAGAGAATTAATGAATATATGATATACACCTACTTATTAGTAGACATGTGCACTGCCAAAAAATTTGTTTAGTTTCGTTTCATTTTAAATTCGGATTTGTGTTATTTCGTTTTTCAGGATTTGGGTGTGAAAGTCAATTCGGATTCGGAATTCGGATTCGGACAAAATTCGGTAGCGTTCGTACGAACGTTCGTTTCATTTTCTGTTCTTATTCGTTTCTTTTTCGTTTCTTATTCGTTTCGTTCGTTTGCATATGAATATATGATATACACCTACTTATTAGTAGACATGTGCACTGTCAAAAAATGTGTTTAGTTTCGTTTCGTTTTAAATTCGGATTTGTGTTATTTCGTTTTTCAGGATTTGGGTGTGAAAGTCAATTCGGATTCGGAATTCGGATTCGGACGAAATTCGGTAGCGTTCGTACGAACGTTCGTTTCGTTTTCTGTTCTTATTCGTTTCGTTCGTTTGCAGCAAAAGTGACATTTGAGGGGGAAAAAATATTTTTCTCCTTCTCTAATGTCACTTTGCTCCAACGAACGAAACGAATAAGAAACGAATAAGAACAGAAAACGAAACGAACGTTCGTACGAACGCTACCGAATTTCGGAAATGGAAATTCGGATTCGTTTGCATTCGTTATGTCTGTAATTCGGAATTCGGATACATCCGAATGTCCGAATTTCCGAAAATTCGTCCGAATTTCGATTCGGAACGAAACGAATCGCACATGTCTACTTATTAGAATTGGATTATCACACTAAACTAAGGTTTTAGCTTTGGATATACTTTTAAGTGCCACTTGTTCTCAGGGCCGCCGTCAGGGGGGTACCGTTGATACACATGTAAGGGGCCCGGCCAGCCTTTGGGGCCCGTGAACCTTGCATGTGTATCGGCCGATGGCCATACAGGTGCCTGGCGGGAGGTGGAGTCAGCCGGGCCCCCGCAGCACCGGAGGAAGCCGGGGCCCGCACACTTCATATTATCACCTGAGGTGCTCTGTGCGGGCCTCCAGTGTCCCCAGGGGGTCTCCACTGCACTGTAAGTAGCGGCAGCCATTTTTAAACCTGGCAAGTGCCCACATTACATTTAATATATTGCCAAACTGGCAATATATTAAATGAAAATCATTCCCTGGTGGTCCAGAGGGGAATCAGTATGAGCTGCATCTCTTGCTGATGCAGATCATACTGATCGCTCCCTCGTGGTGCCGCCGCTGATTTAGCAGGGATTGATTAGTATGGTCTGCACCAGTGCACCAGCCAGAGTGCAGAGCACACTGACACACTGATCCTTCATTCGACCACCAGACCAGGATAATCCCCAAGTGCCACACTGGACCCAGGGGATGCAGCCCCCCTTTCTGCAAAACAGGTAAGCAGGAGAGGCTCCTCTGTACAGCACTGCGGTATATATATATCAGCTATATAAATGTATAATAAAAGCTGTGTAAGGGGCCCCAACATTTCTGAAGGCTGCCCTTGTTCTGCACTCTGCCTGCTGCATTTGCCACATATAAAATTCATGTAGATTCCAACAGGAAGAGTGGTAGAGTAGAACACAAGCACATATATCTAAAAACTGGTGACACATAAGAAATTCTCTAGATTATTTACATTTGCAGCATCTGCTATAAACTAAAGTTTCAGTTTTGTTTGGACTGACCCTTTGAATACTTAGGTTGGAGTACTTTTATTTTTGCTTTTTGGTACTTTGCATATATTGTGAAGTCTGTTTCAAATGGACTGTCATAGAAATGCAGATGTTACCATTACTATACAGAGAATGAGATGAACAGCTTCATTCTAAAAGTCCATTTTCTGCCTGAATTCTTATTTAAGTAAGAGATAGAATACAATACTCTGTGTAAAGAATGAAAATGTCTGAGATATCTTTTGTATCTTTGCCGCTTGGCTTATTTTTGGAAGGACCTTTATAGCCATTCACAGGGAAAAGAAAATTAAAGTTAACCCTGTATCTACCTTAACTGTAATTGTATGACTGTTCACAGAAGCTATAGCTTTATTTCTTCTACTGAGAATGATAAAAAGAAGATTCTTCTTAGTCCATAGGTTTGTTAGAAGAAAATAGTTTTCATCTGGCACCCTGCTGGTCTAAGGATAAGGAAGGTGGAATGGTGTTTTATGGGAAGCTGTGAAAGTGAGGAAACATCATCCTCTTTTTTTGATCTTCTCTTTCGCTTTTAAAGCTTCTCTGCCTAGAGTGAAACATGTCCCTTTACTGAACAAGATTAACAAAGCATTGGGGTGAACTGTTGTTTAAACTTAGCATAGCAGAGGATAGAAGTTCACAAAATTATTATTTACATTATGGGGTCTATTCACGAAGCAGCCGAAGGATCTAGCCGTAGCTTTGGCTGATCCTTCGGCTTGCTTCGGCCCCAGGACCCCTTCGGTACAGTAGAACCGAAGGGCTGCTGTACGGGCTATTCACTATAGCCCGTACAGCTCCCGAAGTCGGCCGGCGGCTCAGCCGAGCCGAAGGCTCCGGCCACTTGCAGAGAGATCAGCGTCCCGGGTTACCAACTAACCAGGGACACTGATCTCCAGACAGCCTAACTCTCCCGGGCGCTCTGGGAGTCTCCTGCTCCCGGCCGCCTAGGAGAGAAACACTGCTTTTTCTTTTTTATTCTGATACAGAGCCGTTGGCTGGCGTCAGAATAAAATGTCACCATAGGAATGCCTTGCTAGATTCCTATTGGCTATTTCAATTTGCAATAGCCAATAGCAAACTAGCTATAGCACCCACCCACTGCTGAAGTTCTCCATCAGGTACCAACTAGTGATTGACAGCAGCAGAGGGCGGGTGCAATAGATAGTTTGCTATTGGCTATTGCAAATTGAAATAGCCAATAGGAATCTAGCAATGCATTCCTATGGCGAAAATGTTTTTTTTTTTTTTATGGCAGCAGAACCACCGGCCAATAGAAAACAGTTGGGTGGAGCTAGCTGCCACTGCTAGCTCCGCACAATCGTTTTCTATTTATTTTTTTGGACTTTTTAAAGTACAGAATTTTTCTGTTCTGCTCGGTCCCACAGAGGGACCGAGTAGAACAGCCGAGCCGAATGCCGCTCAGCGGCATTCGGCTATTCACTCACTGCTGTTTGGCATCTATAAGAATAGACCGAACAGCAGCGAGTAGCCTGCCGGAAGTTCGGCTTAGGCGATCCAGATGTTGGATCGGCTGAGTCAAACTCCTTCTGCACTTCTATTCTGAGTCAAACTCCTTCTGCACGAAGCCACGCGAAGCCACCCGATGTACAGCTGAAATCAGCCGTACCAGCCTGAAGTGAATAGCCGAACAGGGTTCGGCTCACTTCGCTTCAGGTCGGTCATTCACTCGGCTGCCTACGGCAGCTTAGTGATTAGACCCCTATATTTATCTTCGTCAATATTTTTTGTGCTTGGTAAAATGTTACTGCAACAGCTAAATCTGCTTGTTGTTTTCAAACTGCTGGCATTTAACATATACAAAAACCATATGGAACTGATATAACAAGT